TGTAGGGAAAGGCTGTGCGGTTTTCAAAAGTTATGGTTTTCTACCTGCTCAATGCCTTCCAACAACTTAGCTTGTGAACATATAAGGAGAACATATGTGTGCAGCGTTAGTATTCATTAGCTATGACCTCTAACTTATTACGTATCTGCAATATGCAGCTTCACAGCAACACTTTCATGACCTTTTACCATAAGGTTTCGTACTTGCGAATCTGTAGCCTAATCTAGTCGTTAGTGGTGGATATGGGGAATTTCATGTATCCGAATGCACTGCACAAGATTGGCGAAAACGCTTTCGCGAGGGAGACTCCAAAATTAAAAGTTCCGTCCGATCGGGACGTCTACTCGAATCGACAGTGATCGCTTGCGCCAGCTGGTGGAGGCAGACGGCAAATCGCGCGTGAACTAGCACAAATCTTAGGTGTTCCCTGTAGCGCCATTGCCGGCCACTTGCATCATGTGGGAAAAGCTTACAAAATTTCTTTCAAAACGTAAATGGAATAGTAACCGTCAAAAACCGCAGACTTCCCCTAAAACACGTGTGTTTATGTTCAGAAAGTTAACTTGAAGATTTTGAGCTGAAGTCTATATCATTGCTTCTTGTGCTTCCAACATACCAATTTTAATTGTCTTGTATCTGCAACACATTACCATGTACATATATTTAATATATCATACCATGTCTTTTAGTTATGGACTCGTTCACAAACAGACTTTCGGGTGTGTGACCTTGATACATTTTCTTTATGAAGTTCTTTTGTTTTTTATAATATAAATATTGTGCATGAGGTGTAGCAATGAGTGGCAGTTCAATGGCGACACTGGCTCAAGAAGAATTGATGTCACTGGAATCGCTTTTCAGTGCATATCACTCATCGAATGTTTTTTCAAGCGAGAAGCCGTCTGAAAGACAGCAAAACGAACAAAGCAAAATGAAGAAGCAATATTGAGAGAATACCCTAGGCTTTTTTCTGATCCGAAAAGGAATTTCCTTGCTCAACAAGATCCATGAGAAATTTAGCTCTCAAGCTCTTGTATTCCAGATCCATCGTTCTTGCCTTCTGGCTTCTCGAAGGCTTCCATCATCCCATGTCGCCTTTTCATCCCGTCACCTCGTCCTTAGCTTTTAAGGGGATTCCACACCTCATCTATCGGGGTTGCTCTGGGAATTCAGGCATGTCCCGAGAGCGAAGGAGAAGCTGTACCGTGGCGTACGCCTGCTTTTGTCGTCTGGCGCACTCATCTCGTGTGAGGCTCACCTCCCATTTTTGTACTATGTTGATTCTTTCTGAGGCACTGAAGATAGTCGCAGAAAAGGTCGAATGCTGCGACAATATCTCACAGCTCAAAGCACTGCTCTCCGATGCCATGGATGCGGAACAGGGCCCAATATTTTCTAAAGTACTTCGCTCTACAGGGTGGCTACTAAATATTGGCGCATGGTTTATTGAACATAGTTCCAAAAAGAGAAGCCAACAAATCTTCAGAAGTATATTTTTATATACAGTAGAACATGACAATAAAACACTCAAAAAATACCCGAAATAGCTTCCTTCGGCGGCGATACAGTCTTCAAGTCTTTCCTCAACTGACATCACCGTGGGCCGCAAGAAGCTGTCTTCGAATTCCTTCCATGCCTTCTCCTAGGAGACCTTCAGGGAATACAAACTTCGATATTGCTTGGAAGGCATCTTCCACTGCAAGAATCCTCGGACCACAAAATCCATTGGGTTCAATGGGTGAGTTAGATGGCCAAATATTTTGTGACCGTAACCTGGAAGATGACGGTCATAGAACTCCAACGTAGATTTTGCGCCATGTGCAGGCGCCCACTCTTGGTGAAGAATGCAGTGACGTTAGCTGAAGTTCGAAACAGTTTGCGGAAGGAGCAAATTACATAAAACTGCTCCCTGGTGATATAGGCACTGATTTTGACGGATTTGTCCACAAAAACAAACGGTGTCTTGGTTTCAGAAGTAATTCCTGCCCAAATCATGACAGCTTCTGGAATTCAGCTCCTTGTGTGCACACGACGTCGAGCAGAATGTCTGCTAGCCGGACCCAACAATTGTCTGTTCTTTTGAGAATTGTGAGCCACTTCCAGTGTGAGGATCTCCTCGCGTCACGTCAACGTCAGTTTCTTGCGGCCCATGGTGATGGAAATTGAGAGGAGACTTGAGGGCTGTATCGCTGCCGAAGGAAGCCATTTCGAGCACCTTTCCTAGTAAGGCATTGCTATGCTCTTTTGTATATAAAAATAACCTTCTGAAAAAGTGATAGCTTCTCTTTGTAAAAATATGGTCAATAAACCATTCGCCAATATTTGGTAGCCACCCTGTACTTCGGCCGCTCCGAGTTATTCATATTTTGGATTTATACAATTCATTTAACACGTTGACGACAACGCGCGTTTTGGGTTTTTGCACCGCGTGGGACCACGGCGACTTTGTAGGCGCCGCCGCCTCACATCAAATCCGTGAGTTTTGAGCTTCACATACCCAAAACTCGGATGCAACAAGATGCTGAGAACGATGTTCGATGTGTCAAACTTATCAGAACGGACAACTGTAAAAAATCGGTCGAATTGACGTTTTCTGGCGATGGAAGGCAAGTTTCAGTTGCTTTTGCTGCAGTGAACCTCAGAATTATTTTTGACGCGGTTGCTCTACTAAAAGCATATGTCTTTCTATATGTGTGGGTCTGTACTTACTTCTACTGCTCTTTTACATGACCACGATCATCAGAATGTAAAGGAAACTAGGAATAAACACAACTGGGAAATTCGTAGGGCGTAGAAAACCTTCGCTAAAAAGGAGCATATTCAACCATTCAATGAATCTCGCTGTGTCTACTTATATTATGGTGTAGTCTATGGAATAGATGCAAAAAAATAGACAAGAAGTAGCGCATGTGCGAAAAAAATAAATATTTTGTGTGTGCAGCGCATGCGCTGCACACGGTCCCACACGGTGCTCAAGCTGTGATGCGCATGCGCTGCACAATGTCGTCAACGTGTTAATAGAACCAAATACTGAGCGTTGAGTTATTATCAAAATTTCATGGAAGTCGCATCAATAATTTTAATTTCTCCGTAGTTCCATCAACGACGTCATCTTGTTTGAGATGTGCGCCATGAGCAAAACGACTTGTTTGTTCTCCTCTCCCCTTTTGCATAATACTATACGACACACTGAAATATTGCGAGATTATCGCGACATATTATTTCATACTGTTACATTACATTACATACTCATGACATATTATTTCGCGAAACGAAAAAAATGTGGGAAAGGGAGCTAGAGTCTGAAGCATAACAGGGTAAAGTGTGAGCCTACTCCAGCCGGCGCTACTGCGTCTCCTGACAATGTTGGCTGGTTACAAGGAAGGTGAGTTATACTCTCAGTGCATCCTAAGATGTTACTCCTATGCCTTTGCGTACCTCGTATACTTTGGCATCTTCCGTTTTATTTTTATTTCGATGTATAGATCGATACAATGACTAGTGCGGTAGCTATGTTGTCTACGAAACACGAAAAATTGAAAGCCACTTTAAAACACTATTAGATGAAATAAGATCAAGAATATAATGCTCGTCCATGTTAAGGCTGTTTTCATAGTTTGCGCCAGTGCGGTCCGTGTGGTTCGTGCGGTTCGCGGACCGTGCGGAGAGAGCGAAAAGCGTCAGCACGCACTGCACGGTGCGTACTTGGCGCGCAGTCGGTGCCATCTGATCGATAAATTTGGTTTCGTTAGTCTCCTTTTGTTTTCTAGGTGCTCCGCGTGCCATGTTGCTCTTGCTCGTGTTTTCTTTTCTTTTAAGATCATTTCTTTTTAACGGTTTTAAAATATTAGGTTCATACAGTGTTTTCGAAAGTGGCAATAAGCCACAGGTGGGTTCATTAGTAAGCAACAGCAGTAATCCATACAGAAAGAAAAAGTTTAAAAAAACCCAAGTGAAACGTGATGTGATAGGGCGGCACACAAAACGTCAAGAAATAGAAAAACTGTATTGAAATTAGGATTATCGATCGAAAGGCGCCGACTGCTCGCTAAGTGCGTCAGAGCGCGTCCACACTGACCGCATTGGCGCAAACTATGAAAGCAGCTTAAGGCGTGGTGCACCGTGTGCATACTGGTGCAAACTGCAACGGCTTGAGAAAGATTCGCTCTCCAAATCCGACTGATAATTTTCTCTTGTGCCTCCGTTTTTCTCGATCAGCAAACAAATAAGGACGTTAAGATTCTTTCTGGTTCCATATCCTACGGCATCCTCGTAAATAACTGGTGATGGCTCCAGCCCAATTCACATGCAAAACGAAATGCATCGAGACCCATGCTCTGTTTGATAAGCAGGGTACCTTTTCAGGAACTGGAAAATTAGCTTAAAATTAATAACTGATTGGTGCTCATAATTAAATTTGTGTTTATGTGCACTATACATAAACTTTGGAGCCGTCGTGGATGCAGGTGGACGTAGAGGCGCATTTATGCGGGGCAGTGTACATATTTCTTTCAGTGGAAGTACACTGCAGCTACAAGCTCATTTTCTCACGCAACATAGTAGAAGAAAACTCAGAAATATTTTCATTTTCTTCTCTGATAAAATGACACGTTCCACGTTTGTGATATCGATTGTCTCCTGACGTTTGACAAATATGAAACAATTATAATGTAATTTTGTACAATGTGTCCTAAAAGGTAACCATCTGTTCCGTCACGATTAACGATTTGAAGGCGCGACTCTCCAATACAGACACCAAAGAACCGGAAGCGGGAGTCGACTCTGTAAGCGGAATATCTTCCGTTACATCTACTCAGTGATCACATGTGATGTCTGTTGAAACGGAAAATTTCTCACGCACTTATTTATCTGCATGGGTCCTCATGTGAGTATGAAGATTTGACGCTCGATTGAAGGCCTTTTCACACTGAACGCACACATATGGCTTCACCTGGAAGATATATCTGATATACACCGCACCACTTGGAGCAATTTCCTACCGTAGTATGTGTGAGCCGATGCCGAGTAAGATTGCCAGGTTGACGGAATGCACGGCCGCAGTGGTCACACTTGAATGGTTTCTCTCCCGTGTGAATCCGCTGAATACAAAAATAGGTATACTAAAACGGAAGAGGGAAAAAATTACATATTTTATTTTCATTAAGAAAACATGTGAATTACCGCTTTTCGTTCACCGGCGCAGCCTCTTACTAACTACCCTTACGTGGATGGGAACGGCTCTTCTCGATGACTTTTTCCAAGCATTTCCTCTACAACTGTCCAAGCTTATTACAGGTAGTTCGCCGCTCGCAGAGGCATTTGCTCCAGAAACTCACTTAAAGGACGAATTCACACTGGGAAGGCAACCCATTTCAAATTAACTCAGGGATGGTGATTGGTAGACGAAAGAAGGAAGAACCATGAGAAACGGCCCAGAACCCGAGAAATGGGACCCCTTCCTTCCCCGCTGATTTGCGCATTGATGCGACTCTTATCGCAGTGCCCTCCTCAACATCACGCTTTCTCTGTTATCTAATCAATCCCACGTATAGATCTGCGGCGAGTGATCAGCTGGTCGGTGGGCGGAGATCGCCAGACCCGCCAACTCTGAGGCATAAAGGTCGCCTAGGTCAAATTTTTCGATGCGAATTGCGCATCAGTTCGCACCCTCAGAAGGTCCGTGGGTTACTCAACTAGGTAAATTACGTCTTCCTCGACTTCCAATCGTAAAATCCTCCTTTAAAGGGACCAAATAATTAGATGTGGCGCTTTGGCTACAGTAGTAGCACATTGGCGATACTTAAGCCATTTGGACACGGTGAGCACACTAAGTCGGCATGAATTATGATGTTCCTGCCGTGCATTGGACGTGACTGCAGCAGGAACATCGTAATTCGCACTGACTTCAGGTGCTCACCGTGTCCAAACGGTTTATCTCCATTGGCGACCAGGTGATGCCGTCAGATTTTCACACGGATGGCAACCGTTTGCTTGATTTCTTTGGCACTTTTTTGCTCCAAAGCTGTCTGTCATATCGGATCCGAAAGATAGTGTATAAAATAGTGTATCCACCAAAAAAAAATAAAATTTTTGAAACGGGTTGTGATGGTTTAATAAAATGCCAAAAATGCGTTCAGAACGGGCTGTCGTCAATGTGATGCTTTGTGTTTACAAACATGGTTGCTGTAAAACACAATCCTTGAGTAGAAATTATACTGACTACTTTATTCAACATGAATTCCATGTTATGCTGGCAAAAATGACTTTCCATAGGGGCCAGTGAAGCTTCGCTGGCATCTTATGGCTGATATTGAGCACGCTTCCATGAACTTGACGTTCTCACAATGTGTGCGTGATTCCATATGATTTGGGCTCATCTGCCTCTCAAATTCAGTTGCTATTGAAATATACGCTCCTCGCAGGCGACAAAGCGCGATCGTTCGCTCATGCTCAAGTCATGTGGTGGCAGCGAATTCCCCCCCCCCCGCCTTCCCCTATTTTCACGGAGCTCTATTGTCAGTCTCGAAATTTTGATTCGATAAGCGTTTGACATTAAATAACTGGACCAAGAACCCTATACGATTGAGTGATAGGGATTTTATTATACTATCTGTTAGCCTTCATAGTTCTTTGACATCGCATTAGTGACCGACGATCTTGTTGAATGTCTCCTCATGGTCAGAAGTGCGCTTGGCCGAGTATCTTTCACTAAGGGCTATCTGAAGAAGGCCATAACGCTGAAACGCAAGCCAAATGAATCGATGCTGTCTATATACAGGGGGGGGGGCAATAAAAAAAGACATTTTGTTTCCAGACTCGAATGGATTTAATCACACTTTGCTCAGCTCAAAGCATGTGCTCCCAACTTAGAATTTAAGAACGCACTTCATTTCATGGGAAAATCTTCATAGTAGCCGTCTACGTGGACGGCATCAGAAAAGTGCCCAGGTCCTGGAAAAATGGTGCTCTGGTCGAGCTCAATGGGGTTCTCGACTGATTGTGTACCGTTACGACGGGTTCCGAAGGGTGGGTTCCGGGGGTTTGCATATTTAGAGCTAGTGTCCCTAGGATTCACGTTGAATCGATCCAAATAATTACTAAGAGCTTCAGGCTGAAGCAGTTACTGTAGGCCTCCATGAGCTCGACGACGTGACAGATGACGTCATATTCTGAAGACGGTGACGGTAGTGAAGGAGGGCCTGATTCTACTTATAGGGGGACACTTACGGAATATTTTGCTGAAGAGCTTCCGTCAACGACGGCAATCTCTGCGAAGAAAAAAAAGGCCGAAATGCGATCTGGTCAAATTGTCTTTTTTGTCCCCCCCCCCTGCATAGGTTACAGGAAGATCCACAGTGAAATCTATGGTGACGGGATTTTTCATTAGAAGCAATAATTGCTTGATGTTCCCATAAAATTGAGGGCAGAATAAGGAGCATTAAGTGCGACTCCACTGCGAGAAGCTGGGCTCGGCTATACTGCATTATTCACAGAGCGGTGAAAAGGCCGTCATCCCGCGCACATTGTTTAAGCAGCTCCTCAAAGGCCAATTATGGCAATTAAAAGACTTCCATGTATATGAATATGACAGCAAGGAAAGTTCCTACGTCTTTCGACAGCGATAAATAGACATTGAGGCAATACCCTATGTCTTACCTTGTGCGTAATCAGGGTGTTACTTCTGCTGAACGTTTTATAACACACATCACATCGATGCCTTTTAGGATTTCCTCGGCCGACTGATCGTGTAGATCGAAAAGTTGGTGTATTGCAATACGAAATGAAATCTGGAAGACCTAAGCTTTCATTTCCACATGACCACTGAAAAAGAACTGCGAAACGCACCTTTACCTGGGCTAGCATGAGTATTAGACTGAACTCGCATGAATGATGCGACTCCGCTACGCACCACTTGCTGCATCAGTTGTAATTTAGAGAAATAGTAAAAAGGCGTGAAAAGGAGCGCTTTCTGAATTGCCATATATTATGCTGAATTTTCACACTAAAATTACAGAAGATTACCATCTGTGACGAGCTCTGGGGTTGCGACGATGAGTTTGAATGTGCACACTCTACCATACTGTCGCTCGTGGTGCTGAGAATTCGGATTGTTTAGTGAGAAGTTTAACTCTTTTCATTCATTCTCGACAATTTTCACTTTTTATGAAATGGTACGGTTAGAATAGAGGCATATTGGTCATGTAAAAAGAATAGTTAATTTGCATATGTAATAATGCACAGAATTTGATAGCCGGATTGCGAATTTAAAGGCAGCGATCACGATGGCTGGAGAGAGGTGAGGTTTTATGACGTCATTGAAAATGATTGGTGGATCAGACCAATAAGCTTGCTGGGATGTTGATTGAGACCGCCTCTCAACGCCGTTCCATCAATGATGTTCAGCGTAGTTATCAAACCCGCACCACCCTCCCGCGATCCTAATATGTAGCTGCCTTTAAGTATCAATAAATATTGAGTTCCGTCTAGGAGAAGATGCTTGTCTTATTTCTCCAATACATTATAGGCTCATCTAGTTCAAATTGAACATGAAAAACCCGAGTTCACGGAGGCCCAAGTTTCTGAAGAAAAATCACATCTAGGAGATCAGACTCTTACAAGTAAATTTACGTTTACTTCAACCGAAAGAATGATGCCAAGAGAATGCACAATGCTTGAATAGGTTGGCGAGGGAGACGGTTCTGTTTTTCGACTACCGTATCCCTGCTATAATTTGCACAGACTGTTGATTAATAATTAAAAGTCTGCGCCCTTTCGAATTTGAAGGAGAGGTGGAAAATATTTTCGCTTAACGCGTGAAATAGAGGAACAATAAGACTGCGGCACAACACATGAGCGGAATTATTGTGGCTAAATTCTTCGGTACCACACCTTGAGCTGAATGAAAACTATGAAATATTGACAAACCATTTGTTGGGAAAAAGCGTGTCGTCCAAGTTTCTTTCCTCACTCAGTATCGAATCAATAAGAAAACACGTGCTGCCTTTCATGCCAGACATCGACTATCCCTGAAAGATAGACTATGGAAGAGATCATCCCAATAATTTGGGTAAAATGCTCGTGGATGAATAGCTTGAGAACTGCCCTACAAGACTTTATCACAGAAGTTGCTATCAGACAAAAGGTGCTCATGTCGCCCTAAAGTGGAGGGGGTGACATTAAAAGCAAGGCATTCAAAGTCGGCTTTAAATGACACCAGGACTAGCCTCGAGAGGGTAGAAACGTCAGGTAGCGAATAAATTGCTCACATCCATTCTCCTCCCCCCCCCCCCCCAAACGATCCGCTTCCCTCTTTAAGGCTTAGTTGCGACAACAAGTGGCTCACTCCTTGGATGTCTCTCCTAAAGATATGAGCGCCTAAAAGAGCGCAGAACTTCCAGTAAGTGACCAAATGCTCATTGCTTCAGCATATGGTTCACCGAAGCCATAGCAAACTTTTGTAGAAGAAGAAAGCATTTGGCCGTAAACTAGGCCTTCCTGAGATACGCCACGCATTCCACTTTTATTGAAAGTGGCATTCGAATGCAGTACAGTCTATAGAATTCATTGCAGGAGCCAGCTGAGGAAAGCTTTTCATTTAAACAGATTTCGTGTAGGGGGATTCGATCTGGGCTATAATGACCAGATGACTAGCAAAGGTGGAAGAGAAAAAAACTTGGGTTGGCCCGAGAAAGGCTAAGGATTCCATCATCCCTGCGCTCTTGGCGAGAGGCGGCAACACTCAAAGTCTGTCATAGAAAGTAATTACATTACAAATAACCACAACTCATTTTGGACAATTAAATAAATGTATGCTTAAAATATGACATACGCAATAGAACAGAAAATATGTACTATTTTTCATATTTAATGAATTAGTCAATTTGGTTAACTCTAACCTGATATTTCCGCTCGAGAAATCAGCCTAATAAATAGTAAAATCTTGGACAGGCCACACAAAAACCGTACAATCTAACTAAGACTCAACATTAAGAGAGCCCTTCTCGGATTCAAGATATCAACATCACCCCCTACACGACTCAAACATTCCTCGTAGCCTTTTGTAGTGAGCCATCAGAAGGCTCTGATGAGACATCATGCTCGCACGACAGCATGTGAGCTCACCAATACCCGATTCCCCCTCCTCCTCCCTTCTGAGCTCCCACGATATTCGAAAACCGAAATGGGTGATAGCATTTGATACCAATGAGGATTCCGCGTAACTCATATTTCTTCATCAGCTTCCTATTTGTAGCAGTTAACGCTCAGTTTGAGCTCAGTCTCCACAGACACGAGATCGGTCTTCCTAATTCAAGAAGCTCTAACACGCTCTAATAACCGGCGCTGCATGGATTACCTTGGCGACAGCAGCTCTCTGGAGTATTTATTAGGGGTCGTACACTATCAGAGATCCCTAGGAAACTGTCAGCCTCTTAAGGCTGAAGGGATTACGGTAGGAGCCCTTGACTCGTCAGCAATGCTGGATAGCTCCATATTTTGATGTCAGTGAGGTAATTAGACAAGTGCTCAGGAACTTCCTTCTCAGGACCCTTGTCTTTCCTTCACGAATGTGGAAGAAGCGAAGAGGAACAAGCTCAATAAAAATGAACTTGAAAATGCGACAACTATTGCTTCTGAAGATATGATACCTTGCAAAACTTCAGTAAGCAGCCACTACAGTATACCAACTATCACTCAAACAAGAAACGAGGGTATAAGAAAACGGTAAAAAATGAGAACGCGGTTTCTAGGAAAAAAATCTGTATAAGAAGGTCTAATTGGTCGAAAGTTTGAAGCAGGATGAGTTTATCATTGTATATATGTGAATGGAACTGAATGCATCCTCGATCAAATCTTACGTACAGATATATCCGCTCTGTGGAAAGCAATGCAAAAGAAAACGATGTGGCTTGTGAGGGGTAGAAATGCCAGCGATGTTGGCGGCTGCAAGGATCTACCGTAGTACACGCACCTAAGGGGCGGCACCTAACTCGCCTTTCCTCTCACTGCGCTCGCTATATCTGCTTCTCTTGAATCACCATATACTTTGCCTAGCCTATGCGTCTAAATAATTCACTATATAGCTGATCTGGGAAATTATGTCGGCAACTGACGCGCCATGACAGCACAAATATTTGTCATGACTACTGTAAGCGTCAATACGGTATCTTAACAACAAATGTCTCATACGAATGAAGAGGGGAGAGCGGATGTGTACTGCAATATATGATGAATTGCTCTGAGCAGCTTCTTCGTGATTACGACTATATGTCTACCTGAAGGCCATTCTTGTGTCATATGCGATTCCTGCTTTCCTTTTCCTTCAATCGTTCCACTGACGAAAATCCACTTGGTTCGCCTAGCTTTCAAATGCTATCCAACTAGCTGCTCACTTCACTTCAGATTCGTTTCCTCAAAAGCATTTTGATGGGAGCAGAGCCTTTTCTCTAGCTTACTCGAGTCCTCAAATTGTCAAACAAAAAGGACAGACAGACAGACAAAAAGGACTTCAACTCACTAAACCCTTGGAACTATCTCGTTAGTGTCAACACCAGTGCACCACTGACATGAACAAGTTACTAAGATACGGGGGCATCATGGCAATACATATCTGAGATGTAAAACATCCCTCTTCTGTTTAACGGGACTTAACTTCAGGGGAGGAGAAAAGGCTCCAAGATTCGAGGGATTCGAGTGAGCAATTCCCATTTTTTCCTGAAGCCCCTGCCCCTTCGAAGATTAGTCCTGCAGGATGCCCCCGTACATCGTGATAACGCCTGCACAGTACCATGGATATTGTCGTTACTACAGAATTTACACATTCGTAAGCCCAACGGATTCGTTACGATAAAGAGCTTATGCTTGATTCTTTACATTTTGTGTTTGGTGAGCGCTCATCGGCTTTTTGGCTTTTATTCGCTGACTTTGTGTGTTCTCATCGTCGGATTAGCTAATCTAACCATCTTGATGATATAATTGAATTAGTGAAACTGAATACATTTCAAAAGTTGGATTTTCAAATTGAGGGTAGAGAGTAGCAAAAATGGCCCGAAAATCCGGGAAAAATGCAGGCCGTTTGAATTTTGGCTCAACTTATCTCTTTTCCAACAGGATGACGAACTGTTGTGCTATAAATTTGTCAATATTTCCCGGAAGTGTCTAGGTTTTAAAACCTACAAAGTTCATTAGGTGGAATAGATGATGTGCGTTCTGATAGTCATCTAAGAAGCGTCGCTCCCAGCTACCAATTATTATCATGATCGAAAGCAGCTATCGCACGCGATGATGCCTATTAATAAGTCACATATATGCTGCATTGCTGCGGCGCATAGGCTGAAATTCTTAGTGAAACTCCTCGGAAGGCTCGTGCACGCAGACCTGACTTTCTAGTTTCGGGGTTCACAAAAACGAAAATTTCTTTCCGAGATAGGTTATGGGAATTAGAGCATCGGCAGATGACGATGTAGGAAATTGGTCATGTCTGTGAGCCAATTTTTCCTTAAAAAGTTGACAGTAGTACGCGCCAATTTGCAAAAAATAAGAAAAAAATCAATAATATTGGCGAAATAAGGTTTTCTGGAGCGCTGTCCTCGTGAAAGCACGCTAACACCAGACGAACATCTGAGATGCTCGATGTCTCTTGTTCTGCGGCTGGACAGAAAGGAATGCGGCACACATGATAATGGGCTTCTGTTTGTTGAGTTGCGAAATACGGGATAGCTGGATCATTCGAATATAGCACCTGGCTTGCTTCAGGTTTACCAATACCTAGAAGATGTGCAAACATATCTAGTCGTCTTGACATGATCCCTGCTATGTCCACAAAGAAATAAAATGTTTTTCCACAACATGATGCCACCTCTGCTTACAAAAATGAGTTTCCACCGCATTGTTCTGATTCGGTTCCTGGAAGATGTGCTACAGTGTTGATGGCCAGACAAGGCTCTGAGCCCTCTTAGCTTAGCTCCTCAGACGTTAGCACAC